GGGGGGGGGGGGGGGGGGGCAGCGACCAGTCGCTCCTCGCTATACCGCTTAGCTGCGATAATCGTATTGAGCTCCTAAGCGCCAAATACGATGACGGTCTTCCCTAACATCACTGACGACACCCGCACGGTCTAATGGCCTCCGAACAAGCACTGCCCGTCTGACGCCGTTGCATCGGCGGCTGCCCTCGTTCTCCTGCTGTCACCATGCGGATTCCACCGATTTTGCGTTGCGTCGTGGTTGAACGTCAACGCACAGTCGCTGCTGCACGAGGACCGCAGCGTCACCTCCCACGTCCAGATCAGGGGCTCGATCCCCGTGTTCTGGAGCTCTCCGACGAACCTAAGGTACCACCCTAAGGTCCGAATAGACCCGAACCAGGAGGCTTCTCTGCGGGCGCTCAGGTGCGGGATACCGTCAAAATGGTTGGGGGCGTAGGTGTGTGCGTATCTGTTGACATGCCATATTTTCTGGACGCCAGGTCACCTTTTGGGATGTTTCGACTCTTAAGGCGGGGGTCGGAGAGAAGGAAAGAGGATAGACGCCCACACACAAGGGAAAATTTGATGCTTTCGTCTCCTCTCTATTCCGTGCTACGTACGCGGTGCTTTGCGTTTGTTTGTTTTTAATCGCGAGAAGGGTTCAGCCGTTCCTTTTCTCTTTTCAATCTTTGACGCGTGTTATCAGTTGTTTCGTTTTGTCGAAGCTACTTCGCGCGCGCTCGGGTGCCACGAGTGCTGGACACCCAGAGATACCCATGGTTATGTTGTTCGCTCGTGGAACGTCCCGCGGTTCACACAGAGATCAGTTCGAATCACGCCGCATGGAATCGTGTCGTCGACAATGCCCTTGTATTTTTCGATCCAGGCGGCACTCGGAGGACCTGATCCGTCTCTACGGCAAGAACGGCGGAGGCATTGTCTTCATCAACCTTGTCGACAAGAAGAAGGAACAGGTCTGTGAATCTGTGTACAGTCGACCCCGCTTTAAAGAACACCACGTTTTCCAAAGAAAAAAGTGTCTTTAACGCGGGGAAGTGTCTTTAAAATTCCGGGGCCACTAACGCACCATCCCCGGGGCCAATGAAGGCGAAGCATATGTCAAAAGGTGCGCATTCGCAGCAGAAAGGCGACCACAAGAGGTAGGTGTTGTTTGAAACCTACGACACAAGGTGATTTGAAGGTCGCAACCACTGCTGCTATTGTGCTGCAATACATACTCGCATACCATCGTTTGAATTTCCCCGTACTCTACCACCAAAACGCTGAAAGCGATGGTGTTCTACGACCTACGCATCGTACATGTACACGACGGTAGTGTGCTGGTGTTGATATGGGCTTAATTATTTACTTTATTTTATTTTTTAGACGTTGTCCTCCCCGTAAATATCTTGCCCAAGATCTCGCTACCGCACCTGAGAAATATCGAAGGTTGTAAAACGACACTAGGAAAATGTAGGTAACGCAGATACACAGAGACCAAAAATGTCGGGAAAGCACAGCGACAAAGAGGACACCGCGCCTCCCAAAAGGTCAAAACGAGGCACAACACAACACAAACGCCAAAGTCAACCTCACGAGATTTCACCCAAGGCAAACAACGAACGTTGGCAATAAATGTGCTTTGCTCTCGAAACCAAAAACTACACCCGCCACATATGCCGAAGAGTCGCCTGCACCTCCCCCCCCTCCTTTGCTCTTCGCTTGACCTGAGTTTCATGAGTAAACGAATGCACAGTCTTTGAAAGAAGGTACGCCGTTTCGCTGTACTCGCCGTCTCTTCCATGTGTGTACAAGAGCGGACATCTTCGAGACGAGAGCGAACCTCGCCCTCTGAAATCGTAGATTTATGCACGACTGGCCCACCGTGATCGCCTTCCTCTTCACTCGACACGTCCTCCTCGACGTGTACGTTTGACATGTTCTCCGTTACCTCTTCCATCTCGAGTTCTACCTCATCCCTCAAGACCTCTTCATCGTCCTCTACACTAAGCCAAGTGCGCATTGCGCTGCGCACTTCTTCTGTGAGGCCAGAGGCGCTCTCGACGAACAAGTTGTCCGTCAACACTCGCGGCTTAGACCTAGCGTCCACGTCCTTGGCACTCTCTCTGCTGTTCGTGGCCTTCCTCTCCGATGCCCCGACCACAAAACGCGTGCATGGGTCGCCCGCACGGACACTGATGAACCAGTGATACCAGTGCAGATTTGAACTGGCACGTCGGTTCGCCGCATGGCTTCAAGCCGGCAGCAGACGAACCGCTAGCAGATGGAATGAATCTTTCCGTACACCCACACGCAGTGTGCGGCTGCAGCAGACCGCTGTTGATGATCCAGGATCTACAGGTGCTGCAGCACATTTTCTCGGGGGGATCGAATGGTGGAAAGCCCTACCCCCCCTACTTTTTCACATCTGCAGGGCACCATGTTTCTGAGATTTTTTGTGTCCTTAAAGCGGGGAGTGTCTTTAAAAATGGTGTCTTCAAAGCGGGGACGACTGTACATGTGTGTGTGTGTTTGCCGCCAATGGACTGGCGTCGTCTCAGGTCGACACTGCTCCAAGAAACACACCACACACAACGCAAACACGAATGATGCAGTCCGACTTGAATTTTCGATCGGATGCGTGGGCCCAGCCAACTCCTGACGCCTCTTCCCTTGCCAAATCATTTTTTTGCACAATCACAACGAAACTATCTCCATTCACAAAAGAAGAGACCGGGACAGAATTATCGATGAAATTCAAAGCGCTAGCGGAAGCACTACTTGTGTGCTCCTACGATTCTTTGAGCTGCACCCGGCGATATCCCTTGTAGTTTACATTTTTTGTCGTAGAGGTAGGGAACTTTGGCTCAAGCTCGAGCTCGGCCCTGAGGTCTTTAGAGCGGGTCTGAGCGAGCAGCGGGGTATTTTGGCCTACTCCCAACATCGAAACGATATCTTCAAGAGCGCGGCTGGCGCCGCAGAGGGCGCCGTTCCGTGTCCTTTTTCGTGGAGCCCGCGGGAGGCCCTCTGTCCGCAAGACCCCGGAATATACAGTGGGAGGCCCTCAATGACGCCGGTATGTGTCCGACGCATCGGCTGGCACTATTCACAGCGACCGGCGCTTTTGTACATTCGACGTACAGAATCACTTGGTGATTCAGTCTGCGCCCAGCAGTTTCACCGGCGCTATTCAGGGCCGCCGTCACTAATCAACCGGCGATACTGACGGCCCCCCCACTGTACAGTCGCACCTCGCTTAAGGACACAAAGATTAAGGAAACTCCCTCGGAAAAGGACTTTTTGTTTGTCTAACGTATTGCGGCTCTCAGAATGCACAACATCAGGAGGGGTTTATCAACCTTAAGGACACTTCCTTGGCTGAAGGACACTATTTTTGCAACAAACCAGGTGTGTCCTAAACCGACGTTCGACTGTACTTAACATACTCTTCCGTTGCTCTTGCATTTCAGGGCGCCCTCGGAGAGGCTTTCGGGGCGGCTCTCAAGGCGGTAGAGGACGGAGACGGCGGTGCCAAACCCGTCTCCGACGAAGATAATGTCTGCTCTGATTCGGGGTCCGCGGCGGCGGGCGGCGGCGGGGACGCTGGAGGGGGGGCGGCGGCTGTGGCTGTGGCTGCCCCGAAGCTGGCGGGGTCCCTGCGGCACGTGTGGTTTGACTTTCACCACGAGGTGCGTGCGCGCGCCGGGGGGGTGCCTGTGCGTCATGTTGGGGCAAAACGGTGTTATGTTGACACAACGGACTCTCTGGTTTGAACGCTTAGCAGAGAGGAGGCTCAGGGTTTGGAGGGAGGAGGCTGCTGTTTCTGGTCTCTTGCGAAAGACGCCGGGGTTGGTGTTTGCTTCAATTGTTTTACGGCCGGGTCAATGATTCCCCTGGCGCGCGTTTGTAGAAAAAATCGTTGATTTGTTGAGATGGTCTCGCTTTTTTGGGCCCTCGGCGTGGAACCTGCGGCTGGGAGGAAGCACTCCTAAATTGTGGCGACCGTGCTTCATAAAATAACGCTTGATGATGAAACAGGCGGGAGGGAGCAAGAAGCGCAGTGGCCGGCCTGGCCTAGCCGCGGCCACCTCAGGAGAACGACGAGACCCCCGGATTGTTGTGCACGCCTAAACGAAAACGATGAAGAAGAGCCCCCCCCCAAGCCTTGCTCTCCGCGCTCATTTTTGAGGGAAGGGACGCATCTCCCTTGCTGCCCTGTTCTTGAGGTTATCCTGAGGTTTACCCCGACCCGCTTCCCCCTCCTCGCCCTTTACCCCGGTGCACCAGTGCCGGAACATGCACTGGGAGAACCTCGACAAGCTTTTGGGCATCGTGGACCGCGAGTTCGGAGAGCAGGGGTTCTACCACGCCGGTCCAGGGGGCGAGATCCTCCGCCTCCAGGATGGGGTGGTGCGGACGAATTGCATGGACTGCCTCGACCGGACGAACGTCGTGCAGAGCCTGCTCGCACGCCGGAGCATGCTGGTGGGTTGGAGTGCTGTGCTACAAGGTGTTGTCGTTATTTTGTTCACAATAAAAAAACAAACGTTCCGATCTCGCGATTCAGTACCTCCCTCTCTCCGTGTCAATAGGGTGGTACAAAAATGAGGCCTTGTGATGCGTGGAATTGAGGGGGTTGTGCACTTTTGTCTGGTAGAGAGGGGGGGGGG